TGAGGCTGACTGCCTGACTGACTGACTCACTTACCTACTGACTGATCACAACTAACTTTCCTACTCACTTTTTTATTGACTGATTTTTAAACCTTTTTGACAGACATACATAATGATAGAACAAAATGATCACAGAGGTACTTCAATCAGTAAGATGAATGAGATGGTTAAAAACAATCTCCAAATCAAACCTTTGCCAAGTGCCAATGCTAAAATCGGAATAACAGCAATCATAGTGCCACCCGTAACAAAGAAGGGAAGTTTAAAACCACCAACCTAGAAACAATGAGATCAACGAAGATGAGTGACTTTTGATAACGGCATTTCACTGCTCGTTTGATTACGTTGTTACCCATGCATAACTTCATTTTTATCCTTGATATGCCCTGTGGGTAATGAAGTGTCTAACCTCAGTAGGGTAGGGAGTGGAGAGGGGTGCAGTGTCTTAGACAAAACAAGTGATGAAGCCTGGCCATAACGAGTATAGAAATAAAAAGTAAATAAAAAAATTAATAAAAAGCAGTTAGGTGGTTTTAAATGTAATGATGACATGACTTTCATGTTGAATTTTAAATAACTAAGGATGCTCTCTGTATCATGTAGACCTGATATATTACACATTACAATAGTAATAAATCAGGTAGAGATAATGCCTTGTACATACAGTGTAAAGAAGTCCTCCTACAACTGGACCAAAGGAAAATCCAGCTCCAGCACATGTCTCTATCATACCCTACAAAATAACGTTTAAAGCATTTTTTTTTCTTATTTTGTCTTAAAGCTACTCCAACTTGTAAATTGACAAGATCAAAGAAAGGCTGAAGTAACAAATCAGGAAGTGAAGAGGGAACAATGAGAAATTTGTCTGACGTTCTTACTACATGTACCACCCCCCTACTATAAAGTTTTTTACTTGATCCAGGGCTTTACTTGATCTTATCAAATGATTTCAGTATGGCATCTTCAACAATCACAAAGAATGTTGGGCATTAGCTTGCCACATATCTGCCATGCAGACTCTTTTAAGTCAACAAGCACTGTTGATTGAGTCTAAATTCCAATTTTTGATAAAATGTAGGTAATAGTATATTAAGTCCTTTCTGAATCTACCACTACTGAATCTGCTGAATTGCAATTCATTTATTTACATTTTGCAAAGAAGCTAATATAGCTGTTTTATAGTAACTTTGATAAATGAATGCTATTTTAAGTACTTTTTGCTGGATTAAGGTGGCTCTAAACCCAGTGAAAAAGACTTCACTTAAAAAAGATATAATGACAACCCTTTGCAGTGGCTCCTAGCTGAGTGATGTATTTTTCTAGGGATTTTATAGAGCCAGTACCATTATTATTGCTCAAAAAAATGACTATATATCGTATAGTCACTATACGACACCATAAAAAAAAATACTGCCCATTAATTGGATAACATGTGTTTCATTTTAAACTGACTAGAAGTCAGGGTCGTAACGAGGTATATGGGATCAGGGATCAAAGGCCGAAAAAAGGTGGGATCCGGGATCACAGCCCCGGGATCTGGGATCACAGCCCCCCGGGATCGGGATCAGCGGTGTTTCTCATTGGATCAAGGATCAGGCGTTCTGGATAACAAAAGGAATTCACTACGCGCACCTTAACAAGGTTTTTTTAAAGCTTCTTAAAAATATTTTGGTCCATTTCATACAGTAATCCTTGGTATTTGGACTAGCTGACTGATTAATCTATTAATAACTTGCCAGGATTTTGTTGTCTAACTCGCGCTGCATGACATTCTACTTCATATAATTAACAATTATTCGCCTCGGGTTCGGTGAATAGCGTCGAACAATCCCCGAGACGAAGTCCCGGGGATTATTCGACAATATTCACCGAACCCGAGGCGAATAATTGTTTTAGTATAATTTCAGAGCTGAACAACAGAGAATTTTATATAAACCGCGTGTAGCGGTTTATATAGCGTCATATAAGGAACCGCTCGACCAATCAGATTGCTGCAAACTCTTTGCTCAGCTCTGAAATTATACCGTATGTTATGTTATGTAATTTTATCAGTAAATGTCTATGGTGAAACAACTCTGATAGAGCACCCAAAGAAATCACTCGATGTATTTCCGTAGAAAGGAGCCCTGACTTAAATTTTAGTTGTTGATTTCTACAATTTACAGAACAAAAAGTCAATAAGCAAAAAGCAAAAAACACAACCACTCACAAAATTTCCAGTGACTTTAAGTTATTGAATAATCCTGGATGAAGGCTGCTGAGTTTGTTGTTGTAGATGTACCTGTAATTTGATGGCAAAATGCAAACAGCGCTCTTTAATATCTGTAATGAAGTTGTGTAAAAGAAAGCTGGCTTCCTATTCAGTTGGTGTCATTAACCTTGTGCAATCTGAGTTTAAGACTTAACGTCTCACTAAAATGA